GTGTGTGTGTGTGTGTGTGTGTGTGTGTGTTTACGTTGAGTTGTGTGTCCAGATGACTCAGCAGGTACTGCTGCTGACTCAGCAGAATCTCTCGCAGTGAAACCAGACACTGAGCTCTGACGTCAGCAGGAAACAGGGGCCTGGTCTGCAGCACGTCACTGTAACACACACATATGTTTCAGCCGCAAGCAGCATCGAGCGGCCCTCACTGTGACACACACATGTTTCAGCCGCAAGCAGCATCGAGCGGCCCTCACTGTAACACACACATATGTTTCAGCCGCAAGCAGCATCGAGCGGCCCTCACTGTGACACACACATATGTTTCAGCCGCAAGCAGCATCGAGCGGCCCTCACTGTAACACACACATATGTTTCAGCCGCAAGCAGCAACGAGCGGCCCTCACTGTGACACACACATATGTTTCAGCCGCAAGCAGCAACGAGCGGCCCTCTCTGTGACACACACATATGTTTCAGCCGCAAGCAGCATCGAGCGGCCCTCACTGTGACACACACATATGTTTCAACCGCAAGCAGCAACGAGCGGCCCTCTCTGTGACACACACATATGTTTCAGCCGCAAGCAGCATCGAGCGGCCCTCACTGTGACACACACACATGTTTCAGCCGCAAGCAGCATTGAGCGGCCCTCTCTGTGACACACACACGTTTCAGCCGCAAGCAGCATTGAGCGGCCCTCTCTGTGACACACACACATGTTTCAGCCGCAAGCACCATCGAGCGGCCCTCTCTGTGACACATACACATGTTTCAGCCGCAAGCAGCATCGAGCGGCCCTCTCTGTGACACACACACATGTTTCAGCCGCAAGCAGCATCGAGCGGCCCTCTCTGTGACACACACACATGTTTCAGCCGCAAGCAGCATCGAGCGGCCCTCACTGTGACACACACACATGTTTCAGCCGCAAGCAGCATCGGGCGGCCCTCACTGTGACACACACACATGTTTCAGCCGCAAGCAGCATCGAGCGGCCCTCACTGTGACACACACACATGTTTCAGCCGCAAGCAGCATTGAGCGGCCCTCTCTGTGACACACACACATGTTTCAGCCGCAAGCAGCATCGAGCGGCCCTCTCTGTGACACACACACATGTTTCAGCCGCAAGCAGCATCGAGCGGCCCTCTCTGTGACACACACACATGTTTCAGCCGCAAGCAGCATCGAGCGGCCCTCACTGTGACACACAAATGTTTCAGCCGCAAGCAGCATCGAGCAGCCCTCTCTGTGACACACACACATGTTTCAGCCGCAAGCAGCATCGAGCGGCCCTCTCTGTGACACACACACGTTTCAGCCGCAAGCAGCATCGAGCGGCCCTCACTGTAACACACACGTTTCAGCCGCAAGCAGCATCGAGCGGCCCTCACTATGACACACACACACGTTTCAGCCGCAAGCAGCATCGAGCGGCCCTCACTGTGACACACACACACGTTTCAGCCGCAAGCAGCATCGAGCGGCCCTCACTGTGGCACACACACACGTTTCAGCCGCAAGCAGCATCGAGCGGCCCTCACTCCTCGAGAGGGACACATATGGTATAGACTCACATGAACTGTTGTGTGCAGTGCAGGTTGGCTTTGATCGTTGCAGTGTTGCGTTTGCTGCTTTTCATCACATCCTCCACAAAACGTCTGTAACTGTGGAGTGATGTCACATTAAAACAGGTTCTTGAAGAGTCCTCTGTGTGTGTGTGTGAACGCCTCTGGTTGTGTGTGTGTGTGTGTGTCTCTGGTTGTGTGTATGTATGTGTGTGTGTGTCTCTGGTTGTGTGTGTGTATGTGTGTGTGTGTCTCTGGTTGTGTGTGTGTCTCTGGTTGTGTGAGTGTGTGTGTGTGTGTGTGTACCTGTATAGTAGCTCTGGTAGGACTGTTGTCAGACTCTGGGCTTTGCTTCTGTCGGACAGAACTGTCTCTGCAGTCGTCACTTTACCTTTAACAATCTGCACATCACAGACATGTGACATCACAGACATGTGACATCATAGACATGTGACATCACAGACATGTGACATCACAGACATGTGACATCACAGACATGTGACATCACCTACCCCCCCTCCTGCCCCCTCCCTTACCTGTATGATGTGGAAGGCCGTGTCACTGGTGTACCCCCCCCCCCCCCTCCCCTCTCCCTCCCCCCTCCCCTCTCCCTCCCCCCTCCTCCCCCTCCCTCCCCCCTCCTTCTCCCCCCCCCTCCCTCACCTGTATGATGTGGAAGGCCGTGTCACTGGTGTACCTCCCCCCTCCTCCCCTCTTCCTCCTCCCCCCTCCCCCCTCCTCCCCCCTCCCTCACCTGTATGATGTGGAAGGCCGTGTCACTGGTGTACCTCCCCCCCCTCCCCTCTCCCTCCTCCCCCCTCCTCCCCCCTCCCTCACCTGTATGATGTGGAAGGCCGTGTCACTGGTGTACCTCCCCCCCTCTCCCTCCTCCCCCCTCCTCCCTCACCTGTATGATGTGGAAGGCCGTGTCACTGGTGTACCTCCCCCCCCCCCCCCCTCTCCCTCCTCCCCCCTCCCTCACCTGTATAATGTGGAAGGCCGTGTCACTGGTGTACCTCCCCCCCTCCCCTCTCCCTCCTCCCCCCTCCTCCCCCCTCCCTCACCTGTATGATGTGGAAGGCCGTGTCACTGGTGTACCTCCCTCTCCCTCCCCCCCCCCCTCCTCCCCCCTCCCTCACCTGTATGATGTGGAAGGCCGTGTCACTGGTGTACCTCCCCCCCCCCTCCTCCCCCCCCTCCCTCACCTGTATGATGTGGAAGGCCGTGTCACTGGTGTACCTCCCCTCCTCCCCCCCCCCCCCCCCCTCCTCCCCCTCCCTCACCTGTATGATGTGGAAGGCCGTGTCACTGGTGTACCTCCCTCTCCCTCCCCCCCCCCCCCCCCCCCCCCCCTCCCCCCCTCCCTCACCTGTATGATGTGGAAGGCCGTGTCACTGGTGTATCTTCCGTCTTCTCTCGGGGGAGTTTCTCCGTCGATCCAAAGCTGCTTCGCTTCATTCAACACTTTACTGATGTATGTCTGCAAGTCCTCCTGAGGAGAGAGACCCTGGTGAGAGAGACCCTGAGGAGAGAGACCCTGGTGAGAGAGACCCTAAGGAGAGAGAACCTGGTGAGAGAGACCCTGAGGAGAGAGACCCTGGTGAGAGAGACCCTAAGGAGAGAGACCCTGGTGAGAGAGACCCTGAGGAGAGAGACCCTGAAGAGAGACAGACCCCTGGTGAGGAGAGAGACCCCTGATCAGGAGAGAGACCTTCTCTCTGCTCAGGTACTGCTCCTCCAGCGGCTGCAGAAGACTCGGATCCAGAAGTTTCTCCAAAGCTTCTGTGTCGATGTGTTCAGACCATGAAGAAGAAAGAAGCATCCTGAAAACACACACACATGACCAGAAGGAGACCAGAGGGTGACCAGAGAGAGACCAGAGAGAGACCAGAGGGAGACCAGAGGGAGACCAGAGAAAGACCAGAGAGAGACCAGAGGGAGACCAGAGAGAGACCAGAGGGAGACCAGAGGGAGACCAGAGAGAGACCAGAGGGAGACCAGAGGGAGACCAGAGGGAGACCAGAGGGAGACCGGAGGGAGACCAGAGGGAGACCAGAGGGAGACCAGAGGGAGACCAGAGGGAGACGAGAGAGAGACCAGAGGGAGACCAGAGGGAGACCAGAGAGAGACCAGAGAGAGACCAGAGGGAGACCAGAGGGAGACGAGAGAGAGACCAGAGAAAGACCAGAGAGAGACCAGAGGGAGACCAGAGAGGGACCAGAGAGTGACCAGAGGGGGACCAGAGAGAGACCAGAGAGAGACCAGAGGGAGACCAGAGAGATACCAGAGAGAGACCAGAGGGAGAGACCAGAGGGGGACCAGAGGGAGACCAGAGGGAGACCAGAGAGAGACCAGAGAGAGACCAGAGGGAGACCACAGAGATACCAGAGAGAGACCAGAGGGAGACCAGAGAGAGACCAGAGAGAGACCAGAGAGAGAGACCAGAGGGAGACCAGAGGGAGACCAGAGGGAGACCAGAGAGAGACCAGAGGGGGACCAGAGGGAGACCAGAAAGAGAGAGACCAGAGAGAAAGACCAGAGAGACCAGAGAGAGACCAGAGAGAGACAAGAGAGAGACCAGAGAGAGATTAGAGAGAGACCAGAGAGAGACCAGAGAGAGACCAAAGAGAGACCAGAGAGAGACCAGAGAGAGAGACCAGAGAGAGACCAGAGAGAGATCAAAGAGAGACCAGAGAGAGACCAGAGAGAGAGACCAGAGAGAGACCAGAGGGAGACCAGAGGGAGAGACCAGACCAGAGAGACCAGAGGGAGACCAGAGGGAGACCAGGTACTCACTGAGGGTAGTAGTCGTGGACCCAGCGCAGGAGGAAGCTACAGTCTCGGTCATCGAGTCCGTACTGTGTGATGTTGTTGATGTGCGTTGCCATGGCGCCGTGGTACATCTGCATCAACATGTTACAGATGTGTGCGTCTCCATGGTAACAGCCCTCAACCTGCCTCACCACCCGCTCCAGGTCCTCCCTCAACCTCCTGCCCATCCACCACACCTCCTGCTGGATGGACGAGCCCCCCACCTCCTCCTGGATGGAGCCCCCCACCTCCTCCTGGACGGATGAGCATCGGTCCATGCGCTCCTCCACCAGCGCACGCAGCTCCTGGTCATGCGCCTCCTGCAGACCGCTCGGGCGCCAGGCGGGTCGCTGCGTCTCCTGCTCCTGCATCCAGAAGGTGTCACGCTGAGTCTCACGCTGCAGCGCCTCCAAAGCAGAAGAGAGCGCCTGAGAGGAGGTGTCAGGGAGCAGGGAGCCCTGAGAGGAGGTGTCAGGGAGCAGAGAGGAGCAGATTGTCTTCAGGAGCGCTGTATGAAGAAGCGCATGGTCTCTCTGCAGCTGCGCAGCCTGGAGCTCCCAGTTCTGGTGGGCAGGAGACTCCTGAAGGAGGCGCTGGGAGGTGGGAGACTCCAGATATAAACGAGTTTCTTGTTGGATAAGGAGGTCACTGGCCTCGGAGAAGCGCTGCTGCTGCAGGAGGTCCTCAAAGGTCTGGGCGTCTGAAGGAAAAGGAGGAGAGTGGGTTCCAGGACTCAGATGGTTTAGCACCAGGTGATTTTACTAACTATGTGGAGAATGTGATCGAGCTGAGATCTGTACTTGAATTCTTTGGTCTCACTCAGCACCTGAGTGGCCCCACCCACAACAGAGGGCACACTCTAGACCTGTTAGTTACTAAGGGGTTGGAATCTGAACCAGTGACTCTGCAGCTGTTGGGTCACTCAGGGCTGGGACCTGGACCAGGGCTGGGATCTGAACCAGGAAAGGGCTGGGACCTGAACCAGGGCAGGGACCTGGACTAGGAAAGGGCAAGGACCTGAACCAGGGCTGGGACCTGGACCAGGAAAGGGCTGGGACCAGAACCAGGGCTGGGACCTGGACCAGGAAAGATTTGGGACCTGGATCAGGTCTAGGACCAGGACCAGGAAAGGACCAAGACCTGGACCAGGAAAGGACCGGGACCAAGACCAGGACCAGGAAAGGACTGGGACTGGGCTCTGGGGACAGTAGTGTGTGATGGTTCTGAGGTTGTGCCTTTGAGCAGCACACTCACCCTCTGGCTCCTCCTCCACAGCAGCAGTCGTTAGAGTCGGTGCAGTTGCTGTGTTTTGATTGGTCGAACTGTTTCTTCTGAAGAACCTCTGGATCCGCCCCCCCACGCCTCTGGCTCCGCCCAAAGGGTCAGACAGGAAGTGCAGCCCTAGGGCATCCAATGAGCCGGAGCGCAAACGCATGTTGGACCAGCAGGGGGCAGCACTGGGAGAGAACACACATGTGTAAAAGAGAGCACACACGTGTGGAAGAGAGAGAACACAATACACATACACACAAACTAAAGCAGGACTAAAGCAGGTCTAAAGCAGGTCTAAAGCAGGTCTAAAGCAGGTCTAAAGCAGGACTAAAGCAGGTCTAAAGCAGGTCTAAAGCAGGTCTAAAGCAGGACTAAAGCAGGTCTAAAGCAGGTCTAAAGCAGGTCTAAAGCAGGTCTAAAGCAGGTCTAAAGCAGGTCTAAAGCAGGTCTAAAGCAGGACTAAAGCAGGACTAAAGCAGGACTAAAGCAGGTCTAAAGCAGGACTAAAGCAGGTCTAAAGCAGGTCTAAAGCAGGACTAAAGCAGGTCTAAAGCAGGTCTAAAGCAGGTCTAAAGCAGGTCTAAAGCAGGACTAAAGCAGGTCTAAAGCAGGACTAAAGCAGGACTAAAGGACTAAAGCAGGTCTAAAGCAGGTCTAAAGCAGGACTAAAGCAGGTCTAAAGCAGGTCTAAAGCAGGACTAAAGCAGGTCTAAAGCAGGTCTAAAGCAGGGCTAAAGCAGGTCTAAAGCAGGTCTAAAGCAGGTCTAAAGCAGGTCTAGAGCAGGACTAAAGCAGGACTAAAGCAGGACTAAAGCAGGACTAAAGCAGGTCTAAAGCAGGACTAAAGCAGGTCTAAAGCAGGACTAAAGCAGGTCTAAAGCAGGTCTAGAGCAGGACTAAAGCAGGTCTAAAGCAGGTCTAAAGCAGGTCTAAAGCAGGTCTAAAGCAGGACTAAAGCAGGACTAAAGCAGGACTAAAGCAGGACTAAAGCAGGTCTAGAGCAGGACTAAAGCAGGTCTAAAGCAGGACTATTGTGTTGTTACTCACCGAGTCTCTGCTCGTCTCTGGTTTGCGTCAGTTCCTTTTATTGCTCTGGAAACTCCTCCCCCTCAAACCTCTATTTAAACACAAGTTCAACAGCTAAAGCTCAGGTCTGTAACTCTAAAGCTGGTCTCTCTCTGGTCTCTCTTTGGTCTCTCTTTGGTCTCTCTCTGGTCTCTCTTTGGTCTCTCTCTGGTCTCTCTCTGGTCTCTCTCTGGTCTCTCTCTGGTCTCTCTCTGGTCTCTCTCTCTGGTCTCTCTCTGGTCTCTCTCTGGTCTCTCTCTCTGGTCTCTCTCTGGTCTCTCTCTGGTCTCTCTCTCTGGTCTCTCTCTCTGGTCTCTCTCTGGTCTCTCTCTCTGGTCTCTCTCTGGTCTCTCTCTGGTCTCTCTCTCTGGTCTCTCTCTGGTCTCTCTCTCTGGTCTCTCTCTCTGGTCTCTCTCTCTGGTCTCTCTCTGGTCTCTCTGGTCTCTCTCTCTGGTCTCTCTCTCTGGTCTCTCTCTCTGGTCTCTCTCTCTGGTCTCTCTCTGGTCTCTCTCTCTGGTCTCTCTCTGGTCTCTCTCTGGTCTCTCTCTGGTCCTGCTCCTGTTGGAAACCCTCAATGATGCAACACCATGTTTATTTTCACTTTCTCTGTGTGTGTCTGTGTGTGTGTGTCTCTGTGTGTGTGTGTATGATGAAGCAGCTGTAGAATCTCAAACATGCGGAGACAATGAAGAGCAGATGAAGCATGTGGAGCAGGAGGCGAGAGACTAAAGAGAGACCAGAGAGAGACCAGAGAGAGACCAGTGAGAGACCAGAGAGAGACCAGAGAGAGACCAGTGAGAGACCAGAGAGAGACCAGAGAGAGACCAGAGAGAGACCAGTGAGAGACCAGAGAGAGACCAGAGAGAGACCAGTGAGAGACCAGTGAGAGACCAGAGTAAGAGACCAGAGAGAGACCAGCGAGAGACCAGAGAGAGACCAGAGAGAGACCAGAGAGAGACCAGAGAGAGACCAGTGAGAGACCAGAGAGAGACCAGAGAGAGACCAGTGAGAGACCAGAGAGAGACCAGAGAGAGACCAGAGAGAGACCAGAGAGAGACCAGTGAGAGACCAGAGAGAGACCAGAGAGAGACCAGTGAGAGACCAGTGAGAGACCAGAGAGAGAGACCAGTGAGAGACCAGTGAGAGACCAGAGTAAGAGACCAGAGAGTGAGACCCGTGAGAGAGACCAGTGAGAGACCAGAGAGAGACCAGAGAGAGAGACCAGTGAGAGACCAGTGAGAGACCAGAGTAAGAGACCAGAGAGTGAGACCCGTGAGAGAGACCAGAGAGAGACCAGAGAGAGAGACCAGAGAGAGACCAGAGAGAGAGACCAGAGAGAGACCAGAGAGAGACCAGAGAGAGAGACCAGAGAGAGACCAGAGAGAGACCAGAGAGAGACCAGAGAGAGACCAGTGAGAGACCAGAGAGAGACCAGAGAGAGAGACCAGAGAGAGACCAGTGAGAGACCAGAGAGAGACCAGAGAGAGACCAGTGAGAGACCAGAGAGAGACCAGAGAGAGACCAGAGAGAGACCAGTGAGAGACCAGTGAGAGACCAGAGTAAGAGACCAGAGAGAGACCAGTGAGAGACCAGAGAGAGAGACCCGTGAGACCAGTGAGAGAGACCAGAGAGAGAGACCAGAGAGAGACCAGAGAGAGAGACCAGAGAGAGACCAGTGAGAGACCAGAGAGAGACCAGTGAGAGACCAGAGAGAGAGACCAGTGAGAGACCAGAGAGAGAGACCAGATAGAGACCAGTGAGAGACCAGAGAGAGAGACCCGTGAGACCAGTGAGAGAGACCAGAGAGAGAGACCAGAGAGAGACCAGAGAGAGACCAGAGAGAGAGACCAGAGAGAGACCAGAGAGAGAGACCAGAGAGAGACCAGAGAGAGACCAGAGGGAGACCAGAGAGAGACCAGAGAGAGACCAGAGAGAGAGACCGTGTAGTAAACACAAACATGAAGTCGTATTTTAATATTTTATCTCTGATTTATTCATAAATATTAAATATGATTTGTACCTGAAGCTGAGCCTCTATCATCAAACATCATTAAGTTTCATATACAGAGACAAACCCCGCCCCCTTCCTGAGGGCGTGTCAGCGCACAAGCCCCGCCCCCTTCCTGAGAGCGTATCCATGCATAAGCCCCGCCCACATTTAAAGACTCAAAGATGAATTTAAACATTCAAAAGTATTTCAATTCTTGGGTTTTTTTTGGGCTGAAATCACCACATTGTATTAATAGTGTTTAGCCGTTAGCCGTTAGCTGTTAGCCGTTACCCTGCGTACCTGGAAACTCTGCCCACCTCACTGTAGACCCAGTCCCCACAGTGACAGTCTGGTCCTGGTCCCAGTCCCCACAGAGGCAGCTGTAGGTCTGGTCCTGGTCTGGTCCTGATCTAGTACTGGTCCCAGTCCCCACAGAGGCAGCTGTAGGTCTGGTCCTGGTCTGGTCCTGGTCTAGTACTGGTCCCAGTCCCCACAGACGCAGCTGTAGGTCTGGTCCTGGTCTAGTCCTGGTCCCAGTCCCCACAGAGGCAGCTGTAGGTCTGGTCCTGGTCTGGTCCTGGTCTAGTACTGGTCCCAGTCCCCACAGAGGCAGCTGTAGGTCTGGTCCTGGTCTAGTCCTGGTCCCAGTCCCCACAGACACAGCTGTAGGTCTGGTCCTGGTCTGGTCCTGGTCTAGTCCTGGTCCCAGTCCCCACAGACGCAGCTGTAGGTCTGGTCCTGGTCTGGTCCTGGGCTAGTCCTGGTCCCAGTCCCCACAGAGGCAGCTGTAGGTCTGGTCCTGGTCTGGGCCTGGTCTAGTCCTGGTCCCAGTCCCCACAGAGGCAGCTGTAGGTCTGGTCCTGGTCTGGTCCTGGTCTAGTACTGGTCCCAGTCCCCACAGAGGCAGCTGTAGGTCTGGTCCTGGTCTAGTCCTGGTCCCAGTCCCCACAGACGCAGCTGTAGGTCTGGTCCTGGTCTGGTCCTGGTCTAGTCCTGGTCCCAGTCCCCACAGAGGCAGCTGTAGGTCTGGTCCTGGTCTGGTCCTGGTCTAGTCCTGGTCCCAGTCCCCACAGACGCAGCTGTAGGGGAGGAGACAGTTCTGATTGGTGGTCACTTCCATGTCCTTGAACAGAAAAGGGTTCTCCTGGACGGCCCCAGAGTTCTTCTTCTTCAGCTCCGACAGCGTCTTCAGAATCTGACCATGTTCTCTGCCTCGAGGCAAACCACGAAACCACAACAGCGCCACCAGGTGTCTCCTCCTGAGAGCACGGGAAGAGTCACCTGAGTCTGGACCATCCCCCTCTATCTCCTCTCACCCCTCCCTCCCTCTCTCCTCCCCTCTCCTCCCCTCTCCCCCCCTCTCCCCCCCCCCTCTCCCTCCCCCCTCTCTCACACCCCCCTCTCTCACCCCCCTCTCTCCCCCCCCTCCCTCCCCCCTCTCCCTCCCCCTCTCTCTCACCCAAAGTCTGGGCAGAGTTGTATCAGCGCTGGGAGCTGGTCCTTGATGTGGTCCTCGTGCTTCTGTCCGATCAGGTCACACACAGCGCCCCCTACAGGACACAGCCACAGGTGCCAGGAGCCCTGTGGAAACAGCACAGTCCGGGCTGACCAGGACAAGCCAGGACTAAACAGGGCTAAACAGGACTAAACAGGACTAAACCAGGACTAAACCAGGACTAAACCAGAACCAAACAGGATTAAACAGGACTAAACCAGGACTAAACAGGACTAAACCAGGACTAAACCAGGACTAAACCAGAACCAAACAGGACTAAACAGGACTAAACCAGGACTAAACAAGGACTAAACAGGACTAAACCAGGACTAAACCAGGACTAAACTGGGTTAGTCTCTCTCTGTGAGGACCCCTGTGGCTGTGAGGACCCTGTGAGGACCATGTGAGGACCATGTGAGGACCCTGTGAGGACCATGTGAGGACCCTGTGAGGACCCTGTGAGGACCATGTGAGGACCCTGTGAGGACCATGTGAGGACCCTGTGAGGACCATGTGAGGACCATGTGAGGACCATGTGAGGACCCTGTGAGGACCGTGTGAGGACCCTATGAGGACCATGTGAGGACCATGTGAGGAGCCTGTGAGGACACTGTGAGGACCCTGTGAGGACCATGTGAGGACCATGTGAGGCTCACCATGCTCTTGAACAGCTCCTGCAGGAGGTCCCACTGTTTCCGGAGCCTCTCTGCTGCCCTCTGGTGTTTGCGGTTCTTACAGGAGAACTGTCCTTTCATCAGCCGAGAGAGGAGTAGGCGACTGAGGAGGAGGTGCTGGGAGCTGGCCACCTCCTGTAGCAACACAACCATGTCAGACAGCAACACAAACATGTGAGACAGCAACACAACCATGTGAGAGAGGAGGAGGCGACTGAGGAGGAGGTTCTGGGAGCTGGCCACCTCCTGCGGCAACACAACCATGTGAGAGAGGAGGAGGCGACTGAAGAGGAGGTGCTGGGAGCTGGCCACCTCCTGCGGCAACACAACCATGTCAGACAGCAACACAACCATGTGAGAGAGGAGGCGGCGACTGAGGAGGAGGTGCTGGCCACCTCCTGCGGCAACACAACCATGTGAGACAGCAACACAACCATGTGAGACAGCAACACAACCATGTGAGACAGCAACACAACCATGTGAGACAGCAACACAACCATGAGACAGCAACACAACCATGTGATCCCGTGTTTATATGTGATATTGTGTTTGTATATCCAGATACGACCATATAAGGACTGACCAATAAGAGGCTTTCATTCAGTCGTGGATGAAACTCCAGTTTGTCTTGGTAAACGTCTTAGCAACAAGTCTGCCCCTGGTACAGTGCTAAGCTAATGCTGCTGAACGAATGCCCATATAAGGAATCAGTGTGACATCACAGTGTGACATCACACAGATTCCTTATTTCGTCATATTTGGATTTACAAAGACAATAACCAGAGAGAGACCAGAGAGACCACAGAGAGACCAGAGAGACCAGAAAGAGACCAGAGAGAGACCAGAGAGAGAGACCAGAGAGAGACCAGATAGGGACCAGAGAGGGACCAGAGAAAGACCAGAGAGGGACCAGAGAGGGACCAGAGAGGGACCAGAGAGGGACCAGAGAGAGAGACCAGAGAGAGACCAGATAGGGACCAGAGAGGGACCAGAGAAAGACCAGAGAGGGACCAGAGAGGGACCAGAGAGGGACCAGAGAGGGACCAGAGAGGGACCAGAGAGGGACCAGAGAGGGACCAGAGAGGGACCAGTGTTTGTCTGTAGACTGTTCCAGGTGTTTTTTGCACATGGTACTTCTGGTCTCACATCAGTCATAATCAGGACTTTCCCATCTCTAAAGTCTCATCTCGGGAATTCCCAGCTCTTCTGCCCTCTACGTTATTCTGGGACGTCTCTGCCCTCTGCCGGGACGTCTGTGTCCTCTGCCCGGACGTCTGTGTCCTCTGCCGGGACGTCTCTGGCAGACGTCTGGGTCCTCTGCCGGGACGTCTCTGGCAGACGTCTCTGCCCTCTGCCGGGACGTCTCTGTCCTCTGCCGGGACGTCTCTGTCCTCTGCCGGGACGTCTCTGCCCTCTGCCGGGACGTCTCTGCCCTCTGCCGGGACGTCTCTGCCCTCTGCCGGGACGTCTCTGCCCTCTGCCGGGACGTCTCTGCCCTCTGCCGGGACGTCTCTGCCCTCTGCCGGGACGTCTCTGCCCTCTGCCGGGACGTCTCTGCCCTCTGCCGGACGTCTCTGCCCTCTGCCGGGACGTCTCTGCCCTCTGCCGGGACGTCTCTGCCCTCTGCCGGGACGTCTCTGCCCTCTGCCGGGACGTCTCTGTCCTCTGCCGGGACGTCTCTGTCCTCTGCCGGGACGTCTCTGTCCTCTGCCGGGACGTCTCTGTCCTCTGCCGGGACGTGTCTGCCCTCTGCTGGGACGTCCTCTGCCCTCTCCATGTCTCGCTGAAGTGTGTCCGGTTTGGAACAATAGGACATTCCAGTCTTTGGGTAAACACTTCCGGCTGCAGTCAGACCATTTCTCACCTCGGTCGGAAACAGTGAAAACCTGATCTTAGTCGGGCTGAAGACCCGCTTCACACTCTTCCTCTTTCCTCCATGGTCCGACACCAAGACGCACCACTGTGGTAACTTTCCTCCCTGACCTGCAGTTGTGTTTCCCCTGCCCCTTCTGTCTAAACGCCCTGTTCTTCCCATCCACGTTAAGGATGGTTCGGTAAAACTCAGGTAAGAAATACAACCTTAAGTCTATAAACACATACTGCATATGGAGCCCCCTGCTGGAGAAGTCTGGGAACAGTAAGTAAGTCATGTTTATTTATATAGCGCCTTTCACAGACCAGGGTCAAAGCAGTTTACAATTGTTATTTTTGGGCATTAGTCTCTGACTCCACACAGAGAGGGGAGGGGCCAGTACAGGAGGCACAGACCTATGGTACATGTTTTTAGTGGTAGGGGAAACAGGAGTACCCGGAGGAAACCTACACAGACACGGGGAGAACATGCAAACTCCACTCAGAAAGGCCCTGTTCCGACCGGGATTGGAACCCAGGACCTTCTTGTTGAGAGGCGACAGTGCTAACCACTCAGCCACTGTGCCGCCCGTACAGCACCTCTCCTACTGTAGTCTGTTCACTACTCATTAAAGTCACAGACCCCAGCTTTAAAGTGATTTAGAGTATTATGTGCAGAGGAGAAACACCGGTGATGAAAGTGAGATCACACTTCCCCTTTAACACCGAGAGGGACTTTTATGAATGAGGAAACAGGTACACACCCTGTGTGTGTGTGTGTGTCTTTGTGTGTGTGTGTGTCTTCGTGTGCGTGTGTGTGTCTCTGCATGTCTGTTGCCTGTGTGTGTGTCTGTGCATGTGTGTGTGTGTCTGTGTGTCTGTCTGTGTCTGCCTGTGTGTGTGTGTCTGCCTGTGTGTGTGTGTGTGTGTGTGTGTGTCTGTATGTGTGTCTGTCTGTGTGTGTGTGTGTCTGTGTGTCTGTCTGTGTGTGTCTGCCTGTGTGTGTGTGTGTGTGTGTCTGTATGTGTGTCTGTCTGTGTGTGTGTGTCTGCCTGTGTGTGTGTGTGTGTGTTTGTGTGTGTCGGTGTGTGTGTTACCTGTGTGTGTGTCTGTTTGTCTGTGCGTCTGTGTGTGTGTGTGTGTGTGTGTCTGTGTGTGTTTGTGTGTTTACCTCTGCGTGTGGTTTTCTCAGGCCTCCACACAACACACTCAGCTCCTCTGTCTTCGTCCTCAGATCTCTGAAGTCTTCGTCGGTCGTGAGCCACTTCCTGCTCATCATCCTCCGCAGTGGAACCTGGAGAGAGGAAAACACAACTCAAGGTTTCAGGGAATGTCTCTCATCAACAGCTTTGATCTGATTGGTTGAAATTCATCCATCAATCCATCCATTTTCTTCCGCTTCATCCGTTGCCGGGTCGCGGGGGCAGCAGTCTAAGCAGAGACGCCCAGACTTCCCTATCCACACACACCTCCTCCAGCTCGTCCGACCCCAAGGCGTTCCCAGGCCAGCTGAGAGACATAGTCCCTCCAGCGTGTCCTAGGTCTTCCCCGGGGCCTCCTCCCGGTGGGACGTGCACGAAACACCTCCCCAGGGAGGCGTCCAGGAGGCATCCTGAACAGATGCCCGAGCCACCTCAACTGGTTCCTCTCGACGTGGAGTAGCAGCGGCTCTACTCCGAGTTCCTCCCGTGTGACCGAGCTCCTCACCCTATCTTTAAGGGAGCAGCCACTCTGCGGAGGAAGCTCATTTCGACCGCTTGTATCCGCGATCTCGTTCTTTCGGTCATTACCCAAAGCTCATGACCATAGGTGAGGGAGGGAACAAAGATTGACCGGTAAATCGAGAGCTTTGCCTTTCGGCTCAGCTCCCTCTTTACCACAACGGTCCAATACAGGCAGCTCTGCCTACAGACGCTGCTCCCTCTTTACCACAACGGTCCGATACAGCGATCGCATCACTGCACACGCTGCACCAATCCGCCTGTCAATCTCACGCTCCATTCTTCCCTCACTCGTGAACAAGACCCCGAGATACTTGAACTCCTCCACTTGAGGAAGGACCTCTCCACCCACCTGGACAGGGCAAGGCACCTTTTTCCGGTCGAGCACCAAGGCCTCAGATTTGGAGGTGCTGATTCTCATCCCAGCCGCTTCACACTCGGCTGCAAACCGTCCCAGTGCATGTTGCAGGTCCTGGTTCGTTGGAGCCAACAGGACAACATCGTCCGCAAACAGCAGAGATGAAATCCTGTGGTCCCCGAACCGGACCCCCTCCGACCCCTGACTGCACCTAGAAATTCTGTTCATAAACACAGTGAACAGAACCGGTGACAAAGGGCAGCCCTGTCGGAGGCCAACATTCACCGTGAACAGGTCTGACTTACTGCCGGCAATGCAAACACAGCTCTGGCTCTGGTCATACAGGGACTGGACGGCCCTCAGCAGACGACCCCGGACCCCGTACTCCCGGAAAACACCCCCAAAGGACACCCCGGGGAACACGGTTGAACGTCTTCTCCAAATCCACAAAGCACATTTGGACAGGTTGGGCGAGGGTCCCATGAACCCTCGAGTATCCGATGGAGAGTATAGAGCTGGTCCAGTGTTCTGCGACCGGGACAAAAACCACACTGCTCCTCCTGAATCAGAGATTCGACCATCGGCCGTGGCCTCCTCTCCAGTACCTTGGAGTAGACCTTACCGGGGAGGCTGAGGAGTGTGATCCCACGATAATTGGAACACACCCTCCGGTCCCCCTTCTTGTAGAGAGGGACCACCACCCCGGTCTGCCACTCCATTGGCACCGCCCCCGATCGCCACGCGATGTTGCAGAGACACGCTTGGTCTGCCGGTACTGGACAGCTGCCTCAGGAGTCCCCCGAACCATCATGGCTCGATAGGACTCCTTCTTCAGCCTGACAGCATCCCTTACTGCCGGTGTCCCCCACCGGGTTCGGGGGTTGCCGCCGGGACCAGCACCAGAGACCTTGCGACCACAGCTACGAGCCGCTGCATCGGCGATAGAGGTGGAGAACATGGTCCACTCAGACTCCATGTCCCCCTCCTCTGCGGGGACCTGGGAGAAGCTCTCCTCCTCCTCTGGGATCTGGGAGAAGCTCTCCCGGAGGTGTGAGTTGAAAGTCCGTCTGACAGGGGGCTCAGCGAGACGTTCCCAGCAGACCCTCACTACACGCTTGGGTCTGCCAGGTCTGACCGGCTTCCTCCCCTGGGTTCAGGGTTCAGATCAGGGCCGGTCTTCCCTATCACCCCTCTCCAAGTGTCACTGGCAATTCCCACATGGGCGTTGAAGTCCCCAAGGAGAATGATGGAGTCCCCGGGCAGTGCACCGTCCAGTACCCCTCCCAAGGACTCCAAGAAGGCCGAGTACTCTGCACTGCTGTTAGGCCCGTAGGCCGTCACAACAGTGAGAGACTTGTCCCTCACCCGAAGGCGGAGGGACGCGACCCTCTCATTCACCGGGGAGAACTCCAACACGTGGAGCTGAGATGGGGGCAATGAGTATGGCCACCCCCGCTCGCCGCCTCTCCCCACGAGAAACACCAGAAAAGTGGAGCGTCCAACCCCTCTCAAGGAGTTGGGTTCAGAGCCCAAGCTGTGTGTGGAGGTGAGACTATCTCTAGGTATCTCTCAACCTCCCCCACGAGCTCGGGCTCCTTCCCCCCCAGTGAGGTGACGTTCCACGTCCCAAGAGCCAGATGTTGAGTGTGTGGACTGGGTCGCCGAGGTCTCCGCCTTCGACTGCTGCCCAGTCCTCTCTGCACCGAGGCGCCACAGACCCCTCTGCGGGTGGTGGGCCACAGGAGGGACTGTCCACGTCGTCCTTTCGGGCTGAGCCCGGCCGGGCCCCGTGGGCTAAGGCCCAGCACCAGGTGCTTGCTTTCGGCTGCGCCATGCCGGGCGACGTCACTTGTTCTCTTCCAGTGCGATCCAATGGTCGAAATTCATCAAAAAACAAAATGGAAATGATACAAATAAACGAGCAAAGAACTGGTGAGGTGAGGTACCTCAGGGGTCGACACTGGGACCAACAATATTCACACACACACAGATACATGCACACACAGAAACAAGCACACACACACACACACAGAAACAACCACACATATACACCTACACACACACACACACACACACACACATACAACTATTCTACATGTTTTTAATGGTTGGGGAAACCGGAGCACCTGGAGGAAACGTGGGGTGTTCAGACTGTGACTTTACATTATTGTGATGTCACACAAAGATCCTGTTTCAGTGTCAAATATTTGCACGGTTCTCCTTTTGTGTCGCGGCTACACAACCTCTACTTCTGCTTCACACCACATCAGCTTTCCTCATAACGAGGGAAACTCCAACTTTAAAGCTGGGGTCTGTAACTTTAGTCTAAATAACACATGTTTAAAGCTCAGGTCTGTAACTTTAGTCTGAATAACACATGTTTAAAGCTCAAGTCTGTAACTTTAGTCTGAATAACACATGTTTAAAGCTCAGGTCTGTAACTTTAGTCTAAATAACACATGTTTAAAGCTCAGGTCTGTAACTTTAGTCTAAATAACACGGTGGTGATGTCACTTTAGCTCTAACTTGGATGCTGTTGCTGTAGAGTTAGCTCTAACCTGGATGCTGTTGCTGTAGAGTTAGCTCTAACCTGGATGCTGTTGCTGTAGAGCAGGGTTAGCTCTAACCTGGATGCTGTAGAGTTAGCTCTAACCTGGATGCTGTTGCTGTAGTTAGCTCTAACCTGGATGCTGTAGAGTTAGCTCTAACCTGGATGCTGTTGCTGTAGAGTTAGCTCTAACCTGGATGCTGTTGCTGTAGAGTTAGCTCTAACCTGGATGCTGTAGAGTTAGCTCTAACCTGGATGCTGTAGAGTTAGCTCTAACCTGGATGCTGTAGAGTTAGCTCTAACCTGGATGCTGTTGCTGTAGAGTTAGCTCTAACCTGGATGCTGTAGAGTTAGCTCTAACCTGGATGCTGTAGAGTTAGCTCTAACCTGGATGCTGTTGCTGTAGAGTTAGTTCTAACCTGGATGCTGTAGAGTTAGCTCTAACCTGGATGCTGTAGAGTTAGCTCAAACCTGGATGAGGTTGCTGTAGAGTTAGCTCAAACCTGAATGCTGTTGCTGTAGAGCAGGGTTATCTCTTACCTGAATGCTGTAGAGTTAGCTCTAACCCGGATGCTGTTGCTGTAGAGTTAGCTCTAACCTGGATGCTGTTGCTGTAGAGTTAGCTCTAACCTGGATACTGTAGAGTTAGCTCTAACCTGGATATTATAGAGTTAGCTCTAACCTGGATGCTGTTGCTGTAGAGTTAGCTCTAACCTGGATACTGTAGAGTTAGCTCTAACCTGGATACTATAGAGTTAGCTCTAACCTGGATGCTGTTGCTGTAGAGCAGGGTTAGCTCGTGCAGAAGCCGTTCTCTGAAGCTGTCAGTTTGTTTGGTCAGAGCCTGGAGCTGAGCTGGACACGTTTGACCAAGACTCTCCATGTGCTCCCTGAAACACAACAGCTCTAATGTCAGCTCTAAGGTCAGCTCTAAGGTCAGCTCTAATGTCAGCGCTAAAGTCAGCTCTAAGGTCAGAGCTAATGTCAGATCTAAGGTCAGAGCTAATGTCAGATCTAAGGTCAGCTCTAAGGTCAGCTCTACTGTCAGCTCTAAGGTCAGCTCTAATGTCAGCTCTAAGGTCAGCTCTAATGTCAGCTCTAATGTAGGGTCAGCTCTAAGGTCAGCGCAAATGTCAGCTCTAAGGTCAACTCTAATGTCAGCTCTAAGGTCAGCTCTAAGGTCAGCTCTAAGGTCAGCTCTAATGTCAGCTCTAAGGTCAGCTCTAAGATCAGCTCTAATGTCAGCGCTAAAGTCAGCTCTAAGGTCAGCTCTAAGGTCAGCTCTAATGTAAGCTCTAAGGTCAGCTCTAAGATCAGCTCTAATGTCAGCGCTAAAGTCAGCTCTAAGGTCAGCTCTAATGTCAGCTCTAATGTAGCTCTAATGTCAGCTCTAAGGTCAGCGCTTATGTCAGCGCTAATGTCAGCTCTAATGTAGCTCTAAGGTCAGCTCTAAGGTCAGCGCTTATGTCAGCTCTAATGTCAGCTCTAATGTAGCTCTAAGGTCAGCTCTAAGGTCAGCGCTTATGTCAGCTCTAATGTCAGCTCTAAGGTCAGCTCTAATGTCAGCTCTAATGTCAGCTCTAATGTCAGCTCTAATGTAGCTCTACTGCCAGCTCTAATGTAGCTCTAATGTCAGCTCTAATTTAGCTCTAATGTCAGCTCTAATGTCAGCTCTAAGGTCAGCTCTAATGTCAGCTCTAATGTCAGGCTCCTCCTGATCTCACTGCTCTATTCTTAGCTCTTGCTGCAGTTCTTGAATGGACATGTTTTACTTTCACTTTCACTTTCTTCAGTTGGTGCCCATTTCCTCTAAGTCACGTGACCGAGCTTTAACATACACAAGCTGAGAATACACCCATCTTTAAAGCTGGGGTCTGTAACTTTAGTCTGAATAACACATGTTTAAAGCTCAAGTCTGTAACTTTAGTCTGAATAACACATGTTTAAAGCTCAGGTCTGTAACTTTAGTCTGAATAACACATGTTTAAAGCTCAGGTCTGTAACTTTAGTCTGAATAACACATGTTTAAAGCTCAGGTCTGTAACTTTAGTCTGAATAACACATGTAGTAAGTAAGTAAGTAATCTTTATTTATATACCGCCTTTTCACTGCAGATATGAGTCTCAAAGCGGTTTACAATTGTTAATTTTTGGGCATTTGTCTCTCACTCCACACAGAGATGGAGTGGGGTCGCCAGTACAGGAGGCGCATGCCAGAACTATTGGAGATATTTTTAGTGGTAGGGGAAACCGGAGTACCCGGAGGAAACCTACGCAGACACGGGGAGAACATGCAAACTCCACTCAGAAAGGCCCTGGTCCGACCGGGATTCGAACCCAGGACCTTCTTGCTGAGAGGCGAGAGTGCTATCCACTCAGCCACCGTGCCGCCCATGTTTAAAGCTCAGGTCTGTAACTTTAGTCTGAATAACACATGTTTAAAGCTCAGGTCTGTAACTTTAGTCTGAATAACACATGTTTAAAGCTCCGGTCTGTAACTTTAGTCTAAACAACACATGTTTAAAGGACAACTCACCCTCAAATCCACTTTTTTTTGCTGATAAACGGTATAAATGAGTGTCCAATAGTGTTGTCTACATATCCTGGTCATAATCTTGTCACTTTGGTGCAAATTAGTTGAAAGTTAGACTTTCTGCCTAAAACCGTCTGTGAGGCGCCATCTGCTGGCGACCTGTATTACTACATTTGAATTTTGAATCTGGCGCCAACACTGGCACAGAAGTTGGACCTGACTGCAAGTTGGACCTGACGTCAGCAGCCCCCCGCCCAGAGCAATGTAAACGGCCCAGTCTCGTTCACGCCCCCTTCAGTCCTCCAGGCTACGCCCATTTAGAGGAAGATTTGAACAGGAAATGTGAGTAACGTAAGCTCCGAGGAGCGGGGGTGAGAACCACTTTAAAGCTCAGGTCTGTAACTTTAGTCTGAATAACACATGCTTAAAGCTCAGGTCTGTAACTTTAGTCTCATAAATAAGAAAGGTCATGTGACTCACAGTAAGGTGCTGAAGGAGTTGACGTAGGTGACGAGGTACTGCTTCCAAATCTGTGGTTTAAGGCCCTCGCACTGACGTCTGAAGTCCACCTCAAACCTGCACACAGCCACCCCCAATGTAAGAGGAGACCAGAGAGAGAGACCAGAGAGAGACCAGAGAAAGAGACCAGAGAAAGAGACCAGAGAGACCAGAGAGACCAGAGAGAGACCAGAGAGACCAGAGAGAGACCAGAAAGAGACCAGAGAGACCAGAGAGAGAGCAGCCACCCCAAAATCAGAGGAGAGAGACAGTGATTCCAAATGTCTGAAGCGACACCATAACGTGACTTCAGCGACTGCCTTACTCTGATTGGTCAGCGACTGCCTTCTATAATAGTCCATACCATGGGTCTATAATAGTCCATATCATGGGTCTATAATAGTCCATACCATGAGTCTATAATAGTCCTGAAATAACTGTTAGCTACGTTTCCCGTTAAAGCTCTCACTGAAATGTATTCACTGTAAAAGTTTTGTCTGTTGTACACAGTGAGCTAGCTACATTTAGCTACATTTAGCTATCGATAGCAAGCTAACCTAACGTCCTTCTACTGTGCTGCATCTTTCACGTGTTTCCGTTTTCTGCTTGTTGTCGTGTGTATATTTATTAATATATATATACATGCTGTATACATACATATATATATATATATATATATATATACATATATATATATATATATATATTTTATACTGCAGAAAAGGCTTCAGAAGTACCATTTCCTTCACATACTTTTACTTTACATGACATTATATTTGTCAGTAAATCTGTATAACCGTGCTACATTTATGAACAAAGATGGAGACTTTTACTAAATACAAAAGTTTTCTTTTTGATCAAAACACAAGGGCAAAATAAATGTTTAGGCAGATGATTTTTATCATATGTGACTTTTTTACTTCTCATTTTTCGGAGTCGATACTTAGATTTACAATATACATGTATTTTAAATAACTAAGTTATGTTTTGAACTCACGATAAAAACATTTATTTCAAACGACAAAGTGACATCAGACAACGTGTGTACATGACGTGGTCTGACTCCTCCCACACTGAGGAGAAGGAGGAACTATTGTGATGGAAAAGCACAAACACTCGGCCGTGCCGTACCGTGCCGTACCGTGCCCTACCGTGCCGTACGGTGCTCTACCGTGCCCTACCGTGCCGTACCGTGCCCTACCGTGCCGTACCGTGACTATGGAAAAGCGGCATTAGACCAAGTGGCCCAGATCGTCGCCACAGGGGTGTGAAAGCGGCCCGCGGTCACATGAACGTATCGTCTGAACCGTGCCAGGGAAACTGTGCTGTAGTACAACACTCGGTCCAGCTGATGGCGCTAATACTAACACCAGAGACTACCTCGTTGCCCTGGTTGAGATCCGCTTCTTTTCCTGTTTACATTCTGCTACTGTAGCTAACAGCTAACAGCTACAGCTACAGTAGCTAACAGCTCAGTACGGATCGCGTTGTTTAGGGAAAGAGACATCTCACACTTACCCCAAATTGCTCTGATGCAAAGTGCAGCAGTGGGTAACGTGTGTGTGTGTGTGCACACGTGTGTGTGTGTGTGCGTGTGTGTGTTCGCGCCGCGGACACGTGCGCACACACACTCTTCAGCAAAGAGCGTAAGAGCGCTGAGAAATGAATGACTGAGAATAAAGGAATGAAAAGTGTGTGTGTTCTGGTGATTAAATAATGACTGATTCTTGAATGTCTGATGTGTTATTGCACCAGCACCACACTGAGAGCGAGGGTCAGGACAGAAGAGAGCTATACCTGTAGGAAAAGCTTCTCTTTGGCTCTGCAGAGAAACACTCCCCCTGCGCCCCTCAACCACAGTCCGGGGATTTTATGAAAGGTTTGACACAAGCGGAGAATACAAAAGTGCAGGAGAGACGTGTGTGAAAATGCGTGTCACAGGAAGAAGTAATGTGACGCACAATATCAAGTCCTCCCCGCACCTAATCCCCCACTCCCCACCACCCACCACAGTGACCCCCCTCATCCCCCACTCGCCACCACCCGCCACAGTGACCCCCCTCAGCCGCGCAGGGAAGCGGGCCCTGGCTGCAGTTATTAACCGGCATAAACCCGTGCATAAATCTCCAATACCCGTGCATAAGTCTCCATACCCTGCATAAGCCTCCATACCCTGGATAAGTCCCCATACCCTGCATAAGTCTCCATACCCGTGCATAAGTCTCCATACCCTGCATAAGTCCCCATACCCTGCATAAGTCTCCATACCCGTGCATAAGTCTCCATACCCTGCATAAGTCTCCATACCCGTGCATAAGTCTCCATACCCGTGCATAAGTCTCCATACCCGTGCATTAGTCTCCATACCCGTGCATAAGTCCCAATACCCGTGCATAAGTCCCAATACCCGTGCATAAGTCTCCATACCCTGCATAAGTCTCCATACCCTGCATAAGTCTCCATACCCTGCATAAGTCTCCAATACCCGTGCATAAGTCTCCATACCCTGCATAAGTCTCCATACCCTGCATAAGTCCCCATACCCTGCATAAGTCCCCATACCCGTGCATAAGTCTCCATACCCTGCATAAGTCTCCATACCCGTGCATAAGTCTCCATACCCGTGCATAAGTCCCCATACCCTGCATAAGTCCCCATACCGTGCATAAGTCTCCATACCCGTGCATAAGTCCCCATACCCGTGCATAAGTCCCCATACCCGTTCATAAGTCCCCATACCCGTGCATAAGTCCCCATACCCGTGCATAAGTCTCCATACCCTGCATAAGTCTCCATACCCGTGCATAAGTCTCCATACCCGTGCATAAGTCTCCATACCCGTGCATAAGTCTCCATACCCGTGCATAAGTCTCCATACCCTGCATAAGTCTCCATACCCGTGCATAAGTCTCCATACCCGTGCATAAGTCTCCATACCCGTGCATAAGTCTCCATACCCTGCATAAGTCTCCATTCCCTGCATAAGTCTCCATACCCGTGCATATGTCCCCATACCGTGCATAAGTCCCCATACCCTGCATAAGTCCCCATACCCTGCATAAGTCTCCAAACCCTGCATAAGTCCCCATACCGTGCATAAGTCTCCATACCCGTGCATAAGTCCCCATACCCTGCATAAGTCTCCATACCCGTGCATAAGTCCCCATACCCGTTCATAAGTCTCCATACCCGTGCATAAGTCCCCATACCCGTGCATAAGTCTCCATACCCGTGCATAAGTCCCCAGACCCGTGCATAAGTCTCCATACCCGTGCATAAGTCCCCATACCCGTGCATAAGTCTCCATACCCTGCATAATTCCCCATACCCTGCATTAGTCCCAATACCCCGCATAAGTCTCCATACCCTGCATAAGTCTCCATACCCTGCATAAGTCTCCATACCCTGCAAGTCCGCATACCCTGCATAAGTCCCCATACCCTGCATAAGTCTCCATACCCTGCATAAGTCCCCATACCCTGCATAAGTCTCCATACCCGTGCATAAGTCTCCATACCCGTGCATAAGTCTCCATACCCGTGCATAAGTCCCAATACCCGTGCATAAGTCCCAATACCCGTGCATAAGTCCCAATACCCGTGCATAAGTCTCCATACCCTGCATAAGTCTCCATACCCTGCATAAGTCTCCATACCCTGCATAAGTCTCCATACCCTGCATAAATCTCCAATACCTGTGCATAAGTCTCCATACCCTGCATAAGTCCCCATACCCTGCATAAGTCCCCATACCCGTGCATAAGTCCCCATACCCGTGCATAAGTCCCCATACCCGTGCATAAGTCTCCATACCCTGCATAATTCCCCATACCCTGCATTAGTCCCAATACCCCGCATAAGTCTCCATACCCTGCATAAGTCCCCATACCCTGCATAAGTCTCCATACCCGTGCATAAGTCCCCATACCCGTGCATAAGTCCCCATACCCTGCATAAGTCCCCATACCCTGCATAAGTCTCCATACCCTGCATAAGTCTCCATACCCTGCATAAGTCTCCATACCCGTGCATAAGTCCCCATACCCTGCATAAGTCTCCATACCCGTGCATAAGTCCCCATACCCGTTCATAAGTCTCCATACCCGGGCATTAGTCCCCATACCCGTGCATAAGTCTCCATACCCGTGCATAAGTCCCCATACCCGTGCATAAGTCCCCATACCCGTGCATAAGTCTCCATACCCTGCATAATTCCCCATACCCTGCATTAGTCCCAATACCCCGCATAAGTCTCCATACCCTGCATAAGTCCCCATACCCTGCATAAGTCTCCATACCCTGCATAAGTCCCCATACCCTGCATAAGTCCCCATACCCTGCATAAGTCTCCATACCCGTGCATAAGTCGCCATACCCGTGCATAAGTCTCCATACTCTGCATAATTCCCCATACCCTGCATTAGTCCCAATACCCCGCATAAGTCTCCATAACCTGCATAAGTCCCCATACCCTGCATAAGTCTCCATACCCTGCATAAGTCTCCATACCCTGCATAAGTCCCCATACCCTGCATAAGTCCCCATACCCTGCATAAGTCTCCATACCCGTGCATAAGTCCCCATACCCTGCATAAGTCTCCATACCCTGCATAAGTCCCCATACCCTGCATAAGTCTCCATACCTCCTGGGGAAGTCCGTGAGCTCAGATAAGCAGCAGGAGGTCACTCTGAGCTCCAGGTCTGGATCGATTTTTTCAGACTGAGTCACGAGGCCTTTCACCAACTGCACAGAGAGCAACACTGACCCCTGTGGCCAGGCAGAGAACTGCACACACACTGGTCTCTCTCTCTGGTCTCTTTCTGGTCTCTTTCTGGTCTCCCTCTCTGGTCTCCCTCTCTGGTCTCCCTCTCTGGTCTCCCTCTCTGGTCTCCCTCTCTGGTCTCCCTCTCTGGTCTCCCTCTCTGGTCTCCCTCTCTGGTCTCCCTCTCTGGTCTCCCTCTCTGGTCTCCCTCTCTGGTCTCCCTCTCTGGTCTCCCTCTCTGGTCTCCCTCTCTGGTCTCCCTCTCTGGTCTCCCTCTCTGGTCTCCCTCTCTGGTCTCCCTCTCTGGTCTCCCTCTCTGGTCTCCCTCTCTGGTCTCCCTCTCTGGTCTCCCTCTCTGGTCTCCCTCTCTGGTCTCCCTCTCTGGTCTCCCTCTCTGGTCTCCCTCTCTGGTCTCCCTCTCTGGTCTCTTTCTGGTCTCTCTCTAATCTCTCTCTGGTCTCTCTCTAATCTCTCTCTGGTCTCCCTCTCTGGTCTCTTTCTGGTCTCTCTCTAATCTCTCTCTGGTCTCTCTCTGGTCTCTCTCTCTAGTCTCTCTCTCTAGTCTCTCTCTCTGGTCTCTCTCTGGTCTCTCTCTGGTCTCTCTCTGGTCTCTCTCTGGTCTCTCTCTGGTCTCTCTCTGGTCTTTCTCTGGTCTCTCTCTGGTCTCTCTCTGGTCACTCACGGTCCCGATGTCCATGTGTATGTCTGACAGCCACAGTCCGTCCTCAGACTCTGGTTCTTTCGCTTTGGACCAAAATTCTTTGTCCTCGAGCTCCGTGATGTTTGACAGAGACGAACGCAGGTCCTCCTGAGGAAACAGGGTTAGAGAGACCAGAGGGAGACCAGAGGGAGACCAGAGACCAGCTTTAAGGCCTGGGTCTGGTATGTGATGTACCTGGACTCGGTTGCAGTACTTGGTCCTCAGCTCAGTCTTGAAGTCTGGATCCAGGTCCAGTTCTGTGGACTCCAGAGAGATTTCAGGCTGGAGAGAGACGTGCTGCATCACGGACTCACTGCAACAACATGTGACATCAGTGTGTGTGTGTCTGTGTGTGTGTGTGTGTGTCTGTGTGTGCCTGGTCTGGTCCCTGGTCTGGTCCCTGGTCTGGTCCCTGGTCTGGTCCCTGGTCTGGTCCCTGGTCTGGTCCCTGGTCTGGTCCCTGGTCTGGTCCCTGGTCTGGTCCCTGGTCTGGTCCCTGGTCTGGTCTCTGGTCTGGTCTCTGGTCTGGTCTCTGGTCTGGTCTCTGGTCTGGTCTCTGGTCTGGTCTCTGGTCTGGTCTCTGGTCCGGTCTCTGGTCCGGTCTCTGGTCCGGTCTCTGGTCCGGTCTCTGGTCCGGTCTCTGGTCCGGTCTCTGGTCCGGTCTCTGGTCCGGTCTCTGGTCCGGTCTCTGGTCCGGTCTCTGGTCCGGTCTCTGGTCCGGTCTCTGGTCTCACCTGTTGTAGTGGACCTGGGACCAGGTGAGCAGATGGTGCAGGTCCTTCAGGTCTGAGGTCTCCTTCATCAGCTTCTGCAGGTGTTTCCCCACAACTCTGTTATAACTGGACACGTACTCATGGAACACCTGCAAAGACCCATGGTTACACCAGAGACACATCTATGGTCCCTCTCTGGTCTCTCCCTCTCTGGTCTCTGGTCTCTGGTCCCTGGTCTCTTTGGTCTCTCTGGTCCCTGGTCTCTGGTCTATGGTCCCTGGTGTCTTTAGTCCAGGGGTTAAAGCAAAAAAAAAAGATTTGACTGAAAATTTTTGCATGGAAATGTATCACATGTAAATTACAGTAATATGCAGGACCAAGTTATATTTTTAATTACAATATATTATTGTATAATAGATTGTATATTGAATACCGCTCAAATGAATTCTTCAAAGATATACAGTGTATTTTGATATGAAATATAAGTGGATCAAGCAACGAGTCAACTTTTTGACAGAATATTAGTGAGAGTAGCTTTACTTGAGGCGATATGGAGCGTCAACACTCTGGCTCTGTCCTCGTCAAAATATCGCAAAAGGATGATACAATTCTGTCCACATTTGTTTGTGGACACGTCAATATTTAAGAAAAAGGTTTCCCTATCAAGTTTGAGTGCACAGTGCACTTCGATCAACTGCAAATGATTTAAATAAATCTACCAGCGGTAGTGATATTCTGAACGTTATTTTCTGCGATAAAGCCACAGACACGGTCCGCCAGAGCAAGCCTAGTGTCAGTTGTTGCTGATGCACCAGGTAAAGATGAAGTGTGGGAAAGTGCACAAACAGCTGCCTTGTGCGCAGTTTTGAGCTGGTGGCGAATCAAAACTTTTTTTCTCATTACTCCCATATATGCAATTTTTTATGGCAAAGTACGCACAAGCACCGGCCACTTTCATCTTTTCGCACCATGACCTGTTGATTGGCTCTTTTACATCACGCTGAGTTTTGCAAGAAGATCGCAAACAAGACAATATCAAAAGCTCACTAAGACATGTTTGTTCCCATTCCCAGTCGCAGCAAAGTCTGTTTTGTACATTCCGTTAAGTAAAATAGCATTGCGTTTGGTAAACGTTAATTACCTTTAGTCTATTACGCGCCCAGCTTACCAGTCCGCGGATCTGCTGCTGTTATTGCTCCGGTCGAGATTCAATTTTCCTCCTCTTCTCCTTTTCAAAAGCTCCGTGCAGTTTCCAGAAACTTTCACCTCCGTGTTACCAATGCTAACTTCATCGCGTCTTCATTTACGCGTGAGCTCAGCTACGTCCCATTGCCTTGATTCATTTGCGGAGCGCTCATGTGGCCACGGCACGTTCAAGGCCCACTCGTGATTATATTACTTATTATTTCTATATACGTATAAATACAATTATATTCAAATTATTATTATACATCGATATATATATATATAAAAAACAGATTCACACATATATGTATTACTATATATTATTTTTATAATCAATCATTTCATTGTGTGTATTATTATCATTATATATATATATTTTTTTTTCCAGACCAATTTCATTTGACGGAAATCCGTCACCTACTGTAGACGGAACTCTTTAATCCCTGCTTTAGTCTCCCTGGTTCCTGGTTCCTTGTCTCTGGTCTCTCTGGTTCCTGGTCTTTTTGGTCTCTCTGGTTCCTGGTTCCTGGTCTCTGGTTCCTGGTAGTACCATGAAGCTGGGTGGATAGGCCCAGCACAGGTCTGTCTTCACCCCCTTCAGGTCGGTGACCACGGTCCGGCCCAGGAGGCCCAGGTGAGTGGCGAGCCAGGCGGGGTTCTGCTGAGGCGTCTCCATGGTAACCTGGTCCACCCGGGCTTGGACCCCCTCCCCCACCGCAGACCTCCACATGGTCCTCCAGCTGCAGCCCAGGCCCCCAGGCTCCAACACCCGCTGCTCCTCCTCCTGGATGATCCTACACACCATGTGCAGCAGAGGCTTGTTCCTGAGACACAGACAGAGGACACTGAGACACAGACAGAGGACACTGAGACACAGACAGAGGACACTGAGACACAGACAGAGGACACTGAGACACAGACAGAGGACACTGAGACACAGACAGAGGACACTGAGACACAGACAGAGGACACTGAGACACAGACAGAGGACACTGAGACACAGACAGAGGACACTGAGACACAGACAGAGGACACTGAGACACAGACAGAGGACACTGAGACACAGACAGAGGACACTGAGACACAGACAGAGAACACTGAGACACAGACAGAGGACACTGAGACACAGACAGAGGACACTGAGACACAGACAGAGGACACTGAGACACAGACAGAGGACACTGAGACACAGACAGAGGACTAGGGGTGGGAACCTAAGGGTACCTCACGATACAATACGATACGATACACGATACAAAGCTCAAGATAACAATAATATCACAATAACGATTTTTTCACGATATGACGATTATTGATATATTGGTCAGAAATATACAATATGCCAATTTATGGCATAAATAAAATAAAATCTTTATTTAATGATAAATAGAATGGAGATGCGTAATGTAGCTATATATTAAGTATTGATACCAATACAAAAAAAAAAGTAAAAAAAAAAACAAACAAAAAACTTTTTTTTTTTTTTTCAAAATCGATATTGATACTTGGCAAATGCATATCGATAATCGAATCGCGGAAGAAAGTATCGCAATATATATAAAAATCGATCAATCGTCACACCCCTACAGAGGACACTGAGACGGAGACAGTGGACACTGAGACACAGACAGAGGACACTGAGACAGAGGACACTGAGACACAGACAGAGGACACTGAGACACAGACAGAGGACACTGAGACAGAGGACACTGAGACACAGACAGAGGACACTGAGACGGAGACAGAGGACACTGAGACGGAGACAGTGGACACTGAGACACAGACAGAGAACACTGAGACACAGACAGAGGACACTGAGACGGAGACAGAGGACACTGAGACACAGACAGAGGACACTGAGACGGAGACAGAGGACACTGAGACACAGACAGAGGACACTGAGACGGAGACAGAGGACACTGAGACGGAGACAGAGGACACTGAGACAGAGGACACTGAGACGGAGACAGAGGACACTGAGACACAGACAGAGGATACTGAGACGGAGACAGAGGACACTGAGACACAGACAGAGGACACTGAGACACAGACAGAGGACACTGAGACACAGACAGAGGACACTGAGACGGAGACAGAGGACACTGAGACGGAGACAGAGGACACTGAGACACAGACAGAGGACACTGAGACACAGACAGAGGACACTGAGACACAGACAGAGGACACTGAGACACAGACAGAGGACACTGAGACGGAGACAGAGGACACTGAGACGGAGACAGAGGACACTGAGACACAGACAGAGGATACTGAGACACAGACTGAGGACACTGAGACACAGACAGAGGACACTGAGACGGAGACAGAGGACACTGAGACACAGACAGAGGATACTGAGACACAGACTGAGGACACTGAGACACAGACAGAGGACACTGAGACGGAGACAGAGGACACTGAGACGGAGACAGAGGACACTGAGACACAGACAGAGGATACTGAGACACAGACAGAGGACACTGAGACACAGACAGAGGACACTGAGACACAGACAGAGGACACTGAGACACAGACAGAGGACACTGAGACGGAGACAGAGAGTGCCGTGGTTACAGTGTGGTTACTGTGTGGTTGCCGTGGTTACAGTGTGGTTACTGTGTGGTTACTGTGTGGTTACTGTGTGGTTACTGTGTGGTTACTGTGTGGTTACAGTGTGGTTACAGTGTGGTTGCCGTGGTTCCAGTGTGGTTACTGTGTGGTTACTGTGTGGTTACTGTGTGGTTACTGTGTGGTTACTGTGTGGTTACTGTGTGGTTACTGTGTGGTTACTGTGTGGTTACAGTGTGGTTGCCGTGGTTCCAGTGTGGTTACAGTGTGGTTACTGTGTGGTTACAGTGTGGTTGCCGTGGTTACAGTGTGGTTACTGTGTGGTTACAGTGTGGTTGCCATGTGGTTCCCGTGGTTACCGTGCTGGCAGGCTGTTGGAGTCCCGCACAATGCCGTGAACCTTGGTCTTCAGCTCGTTGTACAAAAGGTTCAGGTCTTTCTCTTTCTTCACCAAAACCACAGACTCAGGACTCGGGCTCACTGGGGTCTTTGCCTCAGGACTCGGGCTCACTGGGGTCTTTGCCTCAGGACTCGGGCTCACTGGGGTCTTCGCCTCAGGACTCGGGCTCACTGGGGTCTTCATCGACGTCTCGCGCTGGAACTCAACTCTTAGCGCTAACAGGTTCAGATAGGCCTCCTCCAGGACCTCCATCTCTATGAGTTTGTGGATCTGCATCACTGAGAAGACAGTTTAAAGCTCAAGTCTGTAACTTTAGTCTGAATAACACATGTTTAAAGCTCAAGTCTGTAACTTTAGTCTGAATAACACATGTTTAAAGCTCAAGTCTGTAACTTTAGTCTGAATAACACATGTTTAAAGCTCAGGTCTGTAACTTTAGTCTGAATAACACATGTTTAAAGCTCAAGTCTGTAACTTTAGTCTGAATAACACATGTTTAAAGCTCAGGTCTGTAACTTTAGTCTGATTAACACATGTTTAAAGCTCAGGTCTGTAGTAGTAGCAGTATCCGGAGCAGTATCAGTATCAGGAGCAGTAGTAGTATCAGGAGCAGTACCAGACAGTGGAATGGGGGGAAGCTCAGGCAGACAGTACATCTCGTCAGGTTGTGTCTCCTCCTCGTCTCCTCTCTCCTCTTCCTCGCTCCTCCCCTCCTCCCCTCCTCCCCCCTCCTTCACTGATGACATCACTGATGACATCACTTCCCCTCGCTCCCTCTTGGTCCCGAACAGGCTGCGGCGGAGGTGAGCCCCTCTGTGCTTCAGCGAGCCCAGGTTTGGGTCTGAAAGCAGAGGGAGGGGTCACAATGGAAAGTGGGTGTGGCTACAACAGGAAGTGTGTGGGCGTGGCCTCGGGTGGGACACTTACTGAAGTCTGTGACATCACAAACAGAGGATAAACTCAATGGAATGTGAGAAATTTCCTGTTTTAAAGCAAGCCTTGTTTGCTTTGGCCTCATGCAGCACTGAGACAGGAGCTGAACTGCAGGACCCCAACTCGTGCAGCAGCCCTCCTCCTCCTGTGTGTGTGTGTGTGTGTGTGTGTGTATGAGAGACAGAATGAGGGAAAAAAAAGAGATCCTGAACACACAACTACGAAGGAGTGGCATTGTAAGAAGCATTTCAAGGTCCTGGAGTTGAAAGTCTGCCCCAAACCATCACTGCTCTAGACAAGAACTGCAGGAAGAATGGGCCAAAATACCAGCAGCAGCAAAAACCTTGTGAAGACTCATAGAAAACATTTGAGTTCTGTCATTGCCAAAAAGGAATAAAACAAAGTATTTAGATGAACTTTTGCTATTAACCAAAAATGTATTTACATAATTTTCAAATAATGTGATTTTCTGTATGTGTGTGTGTGTGTGTATCTGCATGTGTGTGTGTGTATCTGCATGTATGTGTGTGTACGTGTATCTGCATGTATGTGTGTGTGTGTATCTGCATGTATGTGTGTGTGTGTGTATCTGCATGTATGTGTGTGTACGTGTATCTGCATGTATGTGTGTGTGTGTGTATCTGCATGTATGTGTGTGTATCTGCATGTATGTGTGTGTGTGTGTGTATCTGCATGTATGTGTGTGTACGTGTATCTGCATGTATGTGTGTGTACGTGTATCTGCACGTATGTGTGTGTACGTGTATCTGCATGTATGTGTGTGTGTGTGTATCTGCATGTATGTGTGTGTATCTGCATGTATGTGTGTGTGTGTGTATCTGCATGTATGTGTGTGTACGTGTATCTGCATGTATGTGTGTGTACGTGTATCTGCACGTATGTGTGTGTACGTGTATCTGCATGTATGTGTGTATCCGCATGTATGTGTGTGTGTGTATCCGCATGTATGTGTGTGTGTGTATCCGCATGTATGTGTGTGTACGTGTATCTGCATGTATGTGTGTGTATCTGCATGTATGTGTGTGTGTGTGTGTCTGCGTGCGTGTGCGTGTGCGTGCGCGCGTGCGTGCGTGCGTGCGTGCGTGCGTGCATGCGTGAGTGTGTGTGTGTGTGTGTGTAAAGTCAAACCTGTGTTTGAGCGTGACAGCCCTCTGCTCTTTGGAGACGGGGAATCAACTCGAAACATGGCCTTCAGAGAACCTGATACACACACACACACACACACGCAGACACAGACACACACATACACAGACGCACACACACACACACACACACACACACACACACACACACACACACAGACACACACACACACACGCAGACGCAGACACACACAGTTAAAGCTGGGGTATCTTAGTTATGCCTCAGTGCGGAGTGGGGACCTACTTGCAGACTGGGGACTGTGAGTTTCTTTCTTGTTTCGCTGGATGCTGCTGCGGAGACTCTTCACCAAACCTGAGACCAGAGCTGGACTTTTGCTCCCACTGGTTTCAGGACCAGGACTGACACCAGGACCAGGACTGAAACCTGAGACAAGAAAGAGATCTCTGACCAGAGAAGAGAGAAACCATAGAGAGACCAAAGAGAGACCAGAGAGAGACAAGAGAGAGAGACCAGAGAGAGAAACCATAGAGAGACCAAAGAGAGACCAGAGAGAGAGACCAGAGAGAGACAAGAGAGAGAGACCAGAGAGAGACCAGAGAGAGTGACCAGAGAGAGAGACCAGAGAGAGAGACCAGAGAGAGAGACCAGAGAGATAGACCAGAGAGAGAGACCAGAGAGAGAGACCAGAGAGAGACACCAGAGAAAGACCAGAGAGAGACCAGAGAGAGACCAGAGAGAGACCAGAGAGAGACCAGAGAGAGACCAGAGAGAAAGACCAGAGAGAGACCAGAGAGAGTGACCAGAGAGAGAGACCAGAGAGATAGACCAGAGAGAGAGACCAGAGAGAGAGACCAGAGAGAGAGAGACCAGAGAGAGACACCAGAGAGAGACACCAGAGAGAGACACCAGAGAAAGACCAGAGAAAGACCAGAGAGAGACCAGAGAGAGAGAGACCAGAGAGAGACACCAGAGAAAGACCAGAGAGAGACCAGAGAGAGTGACCAGAGAGAGAGACCAGAGAAAGACCAGAGAGAGACCAGAGAGATAGACCAGAGAGAGAGACCAGAGAGAGAGACCAGAGAGAGACACCAGAGAAAGACCAGAGAAAGACCAGAGAGAGACCAGAGCGAGTGACCAGAGAGAGAGACCAGAGAGATAGACCAGAGAGAGAGACCAGAGAGAGAGAGACCAGAGAGAGACACCAGAGAAAGACCAGAGAAAGACCAGAGAGAGACCAGAGAGAGACCAGAGAGAAAGACCAGAGAGAGACCAGAGAGAGTGACCAGAGATAGACCAGAGAGAGAGAGACCAGAGAGAGAGAGACCAGAGAGAGAGACACCAGAGAAAGACCAGAGAGAGACCAGAGAGAGACCAGAGAGAGACCAGAGAGAGAGAGACCAGAGAGAGAGACCAGAGAGAGACCCCAGAGAGAGACCAGAGAGAGACCAGAGAAAGACCAGAGAAAGAGACCAGAGAGAGAGACCAGGGAGAGACCAGAGAGAGAGACCAGTGAGAGACCAGAGAGACCAGAGAGAGACCAGAGAGAGACCAGAGAGAGAGACCAGAGAGAGACCAGAGAGAGAGACCAGAGAGACCAGAGAGCAGGGCTGGACTGGCCATCGGGCGTACCGGGCAATGCCCGAAGTGCCGATGCCCATATTTGGGCCGGTCTGTTTGCCTCATACAAAAAAGATGTTTGTGAAAAGTGTAAATCCATTGAAAAATGTTCGAGGGGAGCGTGCGTGTCCGCGGGGCACCTGCTGTATGTACTCGAACGGGATTCCACCACCTCAGCGGCCGCAGTGTTCCCGCATCCAGCGGCTCTGAGCTGGACGCAGGAACCTATGGGGTGCCGATTGTAAAAATTCTGTTAAAATTTTTTAGCTGAAAATTTTTCTACATTTAGCTCACTTTCCTCACATTTAGCACATTTTCCTCACATTTAAGACATATCTATATCTAAATATTATATCTATATCTAAATGTTATATCTATATCTAAATGTTAAATCTAAATGTTAAATCTAAATGTTAAATCTAAATGTTAAATCTAAATGTTAAATCTATATCTAAATGTTATATCTATATCTAAATATTATATCTATATCTAAATGTTAAATGTTATATCTAAATATTATATCTATATCTAAATGTTATATCTATATCTAAATGTTAAATCTAAATGTTAAATCTAAATGTTAAATCTAAATGTTAAATCTAAATGTTAAATCTAAATGTGTCGCCAAGTGTAAAGCTAAATATATAGAAACCACGCCCACTGCAGTGGCTTCAAATCCAGTGGGCCCGCCTTCCGTGCCGTGTGGTGAGAACCCTACAGGATTACACAGGAATCTCACGGGACTCCACGTGGCTTAGTTTACAGTGAATACACTCTGGCTCCAGCAAATAAGCAAGAATCTTCACAAAAATGCTAATTTTGTGCCGTGGCCAAGGACGATGGCGCCGGAGACCCAACATGCCTTGAGCCGTGACGTCGGTCCACGTGTATTCCTATGTTCAAAACACGCAGCACCGCCCCCACTCACCACACGGCACGGAAGGCGGGCCCACTGGATTTGAAGCCACTGCAGTGGGCGTGGTTTCTATATATTTAGCTTTACACTTGGCGACACATTTAGATTTAACATTTAGATTTAACATTTAGATTTAACATTTAGATTTAACATTTAGATATAGATATAACATTTAGATATAGATATAATATTTAGATATAACATTTAACATTTAGATATAGATATAATATTTAGATATAGATATAACATTTAGATATAGATATAACATTTAGATATAGATATAACATTTAGATTTAACATTTAGATTTAACATTTAGATTTAACATTTAGATTTAACATTTAGATTTAACATTTAGATATAAATATAACATTTAGATATAGATATAATATTTAGATATAACATTTAACATTTAGATATAGATATAACATTTAGATTTAACATTTAGATTTAACATTTAGATTTAACATTTAGATTTAACATTTAGATATAAATATAACATTTAGATATAGATATAATATTTAGATATAACATTTAACATTTAGATATAGATATAATATTTAGATATAACATTTAACATTTAGATATAGATATAATATTTAGATATAGATATGTCTTAAATGTGAGGAAAATGTGCTAAATGTGAGGAAAGTGAGCTAAATGTAGAAAAATGTTCAGCTAAAAAAATTTAACAGAATTTTTACAATCGGCACCCCATAGAACCGCTCACCGGGAACCGCTCACAACACAACACGGTGAGCGCGTAGCCGCAACGTGACCATGTACCCAAGACCATAAACGCGCACAGGACCATGCATGTCTTTTCGTAATTTGTGCACCCAATAAACACACCGCTGCAGAAAACAGCCCGCGTCTCCCCTCTCCTCTAAATTAAAGTTCGGGTACCTAAATTTTCCATTGCATTAAAAGTTCATGTTTGAGCCCAAAAGTAAAATGTTGTGAAAAGATTAAACAGATTTAAAGCCAGCAAATGGCTGACAATATGCATTTCAGAAATGTTTACCAATTCTCATCCCTGTAACAAACAATATTGTCTGTGCCACCTCCCTCACTCTGAGACATGTTTATTACTCTGTTTAATGTAGACTATTGTACTTTATTTTATTGTTGAAACTGCAGAGATCCTGATCCTCTACAGTATTTGCTTCCACATACTGTATAAACCAGGGGTCGGCAACCTTTAGTGCCCCTAAAGTGGCTCCTGGAGCCTTTTCAAAAATGTCTGAAAATGGAGTGGGAGGGCTATATTTTATTTCTAGTTTCAATGTGGTTTCTGTAGGAGGAAAAACCTTCTTAACGATTTTCAATGCTGCAAAAACTTGTATAAGTAATATTCAATTTTAGCATTTCTGTCAACGTAGTGCGTCATATCCTATGACGCGGCCCGTGCCAGGCGGCTGCTGCTGTAAACAAATCAGCGTGCATTACAGACTGTGTGTGCGCACGGATCCCAAAGATACAGAGAGAAAGAGGCGATAAGACTGGACTAAAAATGAGAATGAACATTTGCTTTCAGTCAATGAGGAAGGACTGCTTCATGTTTGCGATGTAATGAAAAGTTTTGTTGCAACAGGAGGAACAATGAAGCTTTAAACACGTTCACTGAAAGATTCATTCATCATAAAGTCAGAGCACCTATTTTCAGACTTCAAAAACCTTCGCAAAGACGGTGAAAGAAAAGGCCATTAAGAACATTCAGCTCCAGCAAACTTCAGCCTGTGATGGATATGAACAGACAGTGATGCAGGTGAACTCGGAGCCAAAAACAGATTTATTTACTGTATTTGTACAATTGCATGAAGGCAAAAAAATGGAAGTTAAACTTAAAGCAGAGTTGTCACATGGTGCGTCATTCTCTCCAGGACACGCTGCAATGAAAATACACATTTGATAATCATGAATGGTTTTTATGTGTTTAGCCTTTACTTTGTCATTTAGATATTAGGCTAATATAGCTAATATAGCTAATGTAGCTAAGGTAGCTAATGTAGCTAATACAGCTTCAGCCCCTGTTACCTTCATATAAGTCTTATACAACGCTGTTTTTTTTTTTTTTGTCAAATACGGCTCCTTAAACCTTTTGAGTTGCCTGGGCCGCTAAAAAGGAAAAAATGCCGGGCCGTTTTTTTGTCCCAGTCCAGCCCTGCCAGAGAGAGAGACCAGAGAGAGACCAGAGAGAGACCAGAGAGAGAGACCAGAGAGAGAGACCAGAGAGAGAGACCAGAGAGAGAGACCAGAGAGAGAGACCAGAGAGAGAGACCAGAGAGAGAGACCAGAGAGAGACCAGAGAGAGAGACCAGAGAGAGAGACCAGAGAGAGAGACCAGAGAGAGACCAGAGAGAGAGACCAGAGAGAGAGACCAGAGAGAGACCAGAGAGAGACCAGAGAGAGAGACCAGAGAGAGAGACCAGAGAGAGAGACCAGAGAGAGACCAGAGAGAGAGACCAGAGAGAGAGACCAGAGAGAGACCAGAGAGAGACCAGAGAGAGAGCAAAGAGAGAGACCAGAGAGAGACCAAAGAGAGAGACCAGAGAGAGAGCAAAGAGAGAGACCAGAGAGAGAGCAAAGAGAGAGACCAGAGAGAGACCAGAGAGAGAGACCAGAGAGAGACCAAAGAGAGAGACCAGAGAGAGACCAGAGACCGACCATAGTTGTTCCTCACCTGAGCCATGGTTCCCAGTCGGCTCCATGTTTCACGCTGCAGACTCTGAGGAGGAGCCATGTTTACAGTCAACACAAGATCTACAGGAGGAAAATACTGCGGATCGCCCACTTCTGTGTGTGCGTGTCTGTATAACTCTCTCTTTGTGTGTGCGTGTCTGTATAACTCTCTCTTTGTGTGTGTTTCTCTCTTTTTTCTGTGCCTGTGCCTCTCTGTGTGTGTTTGTCTGTGTGTCTCTCTCTGTGTGTGTGTCTGTGTGTAACCTGCTCCTCCCTGTGACTTTGAGAACACCCTTCACACTACGTCACCTCCAGCTGAAAAACTACACAGCTATATTCTGCTGTGTGTCTCTCTCTGTGTGTGTCTCTCTCTCTGCGTGTCTCTCTCTGTGTGTGTCTCTCTCTCTGTGTGTCTCTCTCTCTGTGTGTGTCTCTCTGTGTCTCTCTCTCTGTGTGTCTCTCTCTCTGCATGTCTCTCTCTGTGGGTGTGTGTTACCCATGGACTGTATATTGTGTTACCCTGCGACTGTGCTATATAAATAAAACGTACTGTAAACTCCTTACTCCTTGTAAACCTTATTTTAACCTTAGCTTACCTCTGGCTTACGTCCTTTACGTCAGGTGAGACTGTCCTTTACGTCAGGTGAGACTGTCCTTTACGTCAGGTGAGACTGTCCTTTACGTCAGGTGCGCGTGCTCCTCTGAAGTCGTTAGATCCTTGCAAGTGACCACTTTTGATTTCGCTTTTGCGCCGGTCCGTGTCGCCTGGTGACGTCACGACGCGACGCAACGGGATCAAGTGAAAGTTAATGATTGTCCGCGGTCGGTACATAAACACTACAGGGTTAAAGCTGGGGTCTGTAACTTTAGTCTAAATAACACATGTTTAAAGCTCAGGTCTGTAACTTTAGTCTGAATAACACATGTTTAAAGCTCAGGTCTGTAACTTTAGTCTAAATAACACATGTTTAAAGCTCAGGTCTGTAACTTTAGTCTGAATAACACATGTTTAAAGCTCAGGTCTGTAACTTTAGTCTGAATAACACATGTTTAAAGCTCAGGTCTGTAACTTTAGTCTGAATAACACATGTTTAAAGCTCAGGTCTGTAACTTTAGTCTAAATAACACATGTTTAAAGCTCAGGTCTGTAACTTTAGTCTGAATAACACATGTTTAAAGCTCAGGTCTGTAACTTTAGTCTAAATAACACATGTTTAAAGCTCAGGTCTGTAACTTTAGTCTGAATAACACATGTTTAAAGCTCAGGTCTGTAACTTTAGTCTGAATAACACACGTTTAAAGCTCAGGTCTGTAACTTTAGTCTGAATAACACATGTTTAAAGCTCAGGTCTGTAACTTTAGTCTGAATAACACATGTTTAAAGCTCAGGTCTGTAACTTTAGTCTGAATAACACATGTTTAAAGCTCAGGTCTGTAACTTTAGTCTGAATAACACACGTTTAAAGCTCAGGTCTTTAACTTTAGTCTCATGAATAAGACTGGTCCCTGTGAGTCAGTGTCAACGACCTTTGGGCTGAGAGCTGATTGTCCTGTTCCCCCCTCTCTCAGCCAAAGTAGTGATGGGAGCAACTGTTTGAGACATGTATTTACAGTTTCACTGTTGAGGTCTGAAAGTTACGTACCTCAGCTTTAGTCATGTTTTGGAATTGTATAATAATCTAAATATATACATAAGACTTTAAAACAGCTTTGTGTCTGAGGAGCACAGGGACTGGTCTCCTGACTCTGAGGAGCACAGGGACTGGCCTCCTGACTCTGAGGAGCACAGGGACTGGCCTCCTGACTCTGCGGAGCACAGGGACTCTGACTTGACCAAACACTTATTTTACATCATTTACAAATAAATTCTTTAAAAATCAGACAAAGAGATTTTCTGGATTTGTTTCTGTTGTTGAGGTTTGTCTGATGAAAAGTACAGGGCTCCCTCGTCTTTTAAGTGGCCCTTTTTATAGCCCTCTGTGGCGCCACCTGCAGGTGAGAACCAGATCCTGTCA